GGCCTTCTTTTGCTATCTTGCATCAGGGCCAACTGCTACATAACACACCCGGAAGTCATATTTGTTGCTGTTGCTGGGCCATCGTGCTGCTCCTCACCTACTTCAGCAGCCTCCTGAATCCCAGGCATTGCAGAAGTTGCTGTTGTCATTCCATGCCCCACACAAGAAAGCAAAGAGGTGAGAGGTTTTGTATTATTTGCTATTTTGGGCTGAAAATCCTACACTTGTCTGCCAGGTTTAGGTTTTCCCACCTCCGGACCTTTGTAGACTTTTTTATTATTCCGGATTCCCATTGACAAAAAATAATCCCATGGTCACTCCTGGACTAGTGGAGGAAGATAATGGCAAGGACAGATTTAAGCTGACAACCTTCACCCTGGAGTCCTGCAGGACTCAAGGGCAAAACAGACAAAACAGAGACTTTGAGGGGTGCACGATACCACCTGCTCTTGAGTTTGCCCCTACACGAGGGATGCACAGAGTGGGCTTATTGGCTCTTAATTTTCTAAAAGGCCTCAGGGGACCCCCAGAAAACTGCAAACCAGTAATGCTGACATCCCTACCACACAATTCCCAGACAGATTGGGCCCATGGATAAATGTGGTGCAAAAGAAAATAATAAATATGGCATTTGTGACAGGATATACCACACTTTTTTGTTACACAAAAGTTTACTGAAGAGTCAATGAATACAGACAAGGGGGACCCAAAACACTACCATGTCTTTGAAGCTTCAAAAGAGTCTCTGATGAGTCTCACTGTAAAGCTACAAAGAAGTTAAGCTATTACATTATCAGGAATTCCTCACATAAATATGCAACTGGTTAAAATATAAGAAAAAAAGAGCAGTTAATAGTTTTTGCAGTTAAGTGGTTTCAGTCATGAAAGGGCTTGCCTGTGGCCTGTGCCATTGGTCAGGCATTGGAATAGGCTACACAGGATGGTGAGATCACCATCCTTAGAACCTTTCCAAAGGCGTGTGGATGTGGCACTTGGGGATATGGTTTAGGGGTGAACACAGTGGTGATGGGTTAACATGTCTTTTCTGTGATTTAAAATGTAGACATCAGCAATTTGAGAAAAAGGGAAAGCTATGAAATAATTAAGGTTGCTGAAGTATTAAGTTAATATTATTCATATTCACAATAAAGTTTGCTGATATTATATATGAGCTATTAATATTCATAACTAAGTTTACTGATGTACTAAGTTATGCAGGATACAGAGAAGAGATCCAGCTGCAAAGAACTATTTAAGGACTTCGAAATATAGAGTGACAAGTTGATAAAATGGCAGATTAAAATCAGTACTGATAATATGGAGGAATAGAGAGTAAGGACAGAATCAATTTGCTGCACAAGTGATGCGTAAAACACAGTGACACGCTCAGACAATTCTCTTTCCTTTTGAATTTTCCCCTTTCTAGTTTTAACTACTAAGTAGGAGATAATATCTTTTCACTCCCTAGTATGTGCATTTATTAACCCTCTCAGATTGCGTAGCTGGAAAATATTGTGCTGACCTTCAGTAAAAAATGTCCAAAGCCTCTGCTGTGTTTTCCCTTGTAAATATTTATGGTAACTGTTAAAATTCTTTTCACACTTAAATTTAGCTTAGCTGCAAGTGCCTTCCTCACTTGGATATAGTGAGGAATGGCACACCAAATGAGATCCAGGACCCTGGTGAAAGTGAGAGAAGAGATGACAAGTTTTCATGTTACAAGTGATTTGCCTAATTTGTATGGTGTACAACTGTATATCATACAGAAAAGGTATGGGATGGGAGGGAAGGGGAGGGCAAGGGACAGGGTAGGGATAGGACGGGGTGGGGTGGGATGGGGAGGGGGGAGGGGATGGGGTTGGGATGGGGATGGGTTTGGAAAGGGACAGGATAGGAGGGGGAGGCAAAGGGAGGATGGGAGGGGAGGGAAGGGGAGGGAAAGCAAGGAGAGGGGAGGGGAGGGGATGGAAAAATGTGGTCTTGTGGAGGTTGATTTTTATGATGTTCTTCTCTAGCACTGTTATCACAGTAATGGGTCAAAGTGAGAAATGTTCAGCAGTTAATCTTAAGCACCCTGTAGAAATAGGTTGCACAGACTTACACTGGGTAGAGAAAAGTCAGGTCAATATAAGAAACTAATTATTTAGATTTCTTTTCATGATTGGTTGACTGGGGCAGCACTGCTGAATCTGCACTGTCTGGTGTCAGGTTTAACACCAAAGGTTTAAAGATACTTAAAAAAAATTTCAGTTGGAAATAAGGATTCTTTGGAGGAAAAGAAGAAAATATCCAACCAATCAACTAAACAAACAAAAAAAACCCCAAACCAAAAAACTACTGAAATGAGAGTGCACAAACACATTTTGTCAGCAGTACCAGCTGCCAGTCCACCTCTGCACTGCTCATTCCTTCCCTACTTCTCTGCTGCCAAGCACTAGCATGAGAGGAAGCTGGGAAACTGTGTGACTGAGTAATAAACTCCCCCCCAAAACAGTTGTTGTTTTGAGCCAGATTTAATGTGATAACATCAGGAATGCATGGGACAGCAGAGCACAGAAAATGGCACAAGCTTGGGTACAAACAGCTGAGGCAGGATGGATTGGGAAATGTTATTTTTATTTCTTCTGGATGTATAGCAATTACCTAACTTGTTTTTCCACGGACCCCTTTGGCAAGGTGTGGAAGAGCTGTAGACTTTTCATTTTATAGCCTAATAAAGTAGTTCCTAACCAGTTCTGGCTTTAAATTTAAAAAATAGAGGATTAATTTACTTAGGAGTAAACCTGTTAGGTTTTTCATTTTTCTCCCTTCCCTTCCCTTCCCTTTTCCTCCCTTCCTTCCTCTTCCTTCCGCTTCCTTCCTTCCCTCCCTCTTCCCTTCCTTCCCTCTCCCTTCCTGCCCTTCCTTCCCTTCCTTCCTTCCTTCCTCCCTTCCCTTGCCCGTCCACCTTCCTTCCCCTTCCTGGCGCCTCCCATTCCCTTGCCCTTCCCTCTTCCTTCCCTTTCCTCCTTCCCTTCCTTCCCTGCCCTGCCCGCCCTGCCCTGCCTGCCCCTGCCCGCCCTGGCCTGCCCAGCCTTCCCAAACCTTCCCTTTCCCTTTCTCTTTCTTGTTTTTCTTTCACTTCTTCTTCATTTTCTGTCTTTTCTTTTTATATTTTTATATTTTTTTTCAACAGAATTTGCTACAGCTGGCTGTGTGTCCCCAGAGGACAGTTAGTCTCTTAATACCTCATGAAAGAGCATGAGCACGGAAGGACACCTTGCTTATGTTAAATGCTTACTGAGGCTTCTCATGGTTAGTCCCGGAACAGGAGAAATCCCACAGAGTTATTTCACTTGCATCTCACATGCATGTCTGTGATGAACATGAACAAGAACAGCTGTTTCCTTCAAAACCAGTTCAAGTCTCCAGGGTTACTGAGTCACTTTGTTACAACTGTCAAATGAGAATATGAATGAAGGTATCTTACAACAAGGGAGACAGCTGGGCCCATGGGAGTAAGAAGGGCTGCAACAATTACAACTAAACTTGTTGGACTTACTCTTACTAAACTTGTGCTTGATAGGGTGCTATTTCTGGAATTTGCTGATTCAAGTTCAGGAGGTAGTTGGAAGTCTCATGTTGGCAGGAATGTCAAGGAAAATCTGCCCCATTCCCAGTCAGCCCAGCCAGTCTGCCCCAGATAATTTGCCTGGTAAATCCCTGACGACCTGAGAATTTGGAAGCCTAAACCCAAGCCTGTGAGAGTGGCCAAAGCCCAAGCAGCCCCAGCTTGTACCACTCTCAAAGAGCCCGGCGTACGGGCTGATCTCAGTCTAGGCTCCACACCTTTGACTTGCAGAGAAATTTGGAAATGTCTTTTATTTTACATCAGAGTAGCAACAAATTTCAAATGATCAATGCCTTCTTATAAGCAAAATGATGTTTCCTTATCCAGATACAAGTAAAACTTGGGAATTTGAGACCCTTCTGCCAGATTTCTTTAAAAACATTATCCATTCCCTAATCTTGGACAGGCAGGAGGAAACAAAATGTGCTTTATATATCTGGGCAGGACCATCTTTTTTGACAATGTAGAGCAAGATTAGCATTTTACTTTTCACAGAGATTATGGTGAACAAACATGCAAGCACACTTTAATTATTTATTTATATATATATGTATTTATTCTTTCATTATTTAAAATCCAAATTTCAAGAAGTTTCTATTGAGAAATCCAAAGTTTTTAATAATACTCCAGTACAAAAACATAGTCCTTAGGATAAAAACTTCCATACTACTGCCTCCAAATAAATAAAATTACATCAGACACATTTAAATTATTCAGTAAAAAAAAAAAACAAACCAGCAATTTTTTTAATCTGAGAGTTGAAGTTAAATCAGTGCAGTACAGTTAGTCACAACCCCTTGTGGTGTTAAGTAGACTGGCGTCCTGGTAACTTCAGTGCATAACAATAGTAAATACCAGCAATTAACCATCAATACTCTCCTTCAGAAACGTGGGTCAGCATTTGCTTATCTTTAAACATGTTTATTTGCTTGATTTATATTTAGACTTGTTTAGCAGTAAGCAGACATGAATATGTTTGTCTGAGTACAGTAACTTCCCCCTCTTGGTGCTTGTATCTGCATGCCAAATAGACGAATGATAAGACTAATCTTGTAACAACCCTCTCTAAAGACAGCACCAGATGGAAAGCTGGGTACCGTATCACGTCATTTCAAGACTTCCATATGGAAACTGGGTAAATATTGTCTCATTCTGTATTTTCAGGTCAACAAACATATAACAAATAGACAGAATTTTAAGACAAAGTTATTTCTTACATAGTAGTAGGGCATATAAATACTTTGATCAGTATTTCTTTATAAATAATTATTTAAAATACTTAAATATTAATAAATAAATGTATAAAAATTCAATAGAAACCTTAAAATAAAAAAGGTGTGTCGCAAAAAGATTTGCACAGTAACTCAGTACAAAAGAACATAAGATGGCATTAGCATTTGCACTGCCTCTGAACCAGCCTTCTTTTTCTTCCTGAAGAACTTGTAGTATCCCCCAGTTTTTGTAAGACACTGAACAGCTCATTCACAGCTTTACGTTGAATTGTCGAGTCATTCACCTGTTAAAAGTGAAAAACAAATGGAACGAAAGTTATATCAAGAGCTATAATCATTTACTGATCACATCCCACAGGCTACCCTGCTACCAGAGTAAAACCGATGGACATCTGCAGTTTTCAGTTACTGTTCTACCTAATTCCTACAGCAAAGAGCCACTTTGTCACAGATTTTTGTTTTTCACTTTCTGTGCTACCTTGCAACGTGCCACAGACCAGCCATATTCTGTGAAACAGAGCTACTCTGTAGTTACAAGCAGCTAACTCCACTGGGGTATTGTCTGCAGACCTCTGCAGAGGTCAGTGGTTTGTGCCATTGGCACTTGCTCAATAAGCTTCCAAAGCCATAGAGCACACCCTAGCTGGGCACAACTTTCCTACCCAATTTCTAAACCACAAAGGCTCTGTCAATGTCAGCTCTGGCGTGCAGACTGAGTGGAGGTGCTGTCAGCACCTTTGTGCCAAACTGCAGCAAGACTCAGAGGTCTACCCCACACCGTAGACGTGCAGCAGCCCCTGCAGCTGGAAACATTAGGTTTCCCAGTGTGAAGTGAGCTAGACAAGCGTTACCATATGGGTTGCTGAAGCGCTATTGGCTTGAATCACACTCAAATCACAACTGGAAAATATAACGTGATGAGCCTTGGAGGCAAAGGAGCCTTCAGGCCTTACCTGAAGCTCTGTCAGGTTCTTGAGATATTCCATCTTCTTTGAGTCATCAGAAAGGCTTGCTTGCAAAGTGTAGAGCTCCTCAGATATGTTCTTGACATGTGCCTTTGACTGGTCAGTGGTTTTAAGGATTTTCAAGTACATGGAAACAATCTGACTCAGGATGATCCTTTTTTCATTTGTCTGTTGAAAAATACAATCAGAAGGAAAGGTCTGTGAGTGCTCATCAGCAGGAAAATGAATGAAAATCAAACACAGCATGCAGGGGTTCTCACTGCCACTTGAAACAAGATGATAAAGAAGACGTAAATCACCCCCTGGGCTTGTCTGTATCTCAGATCATTTCATGGTGCAGTACAAAGCACCTTGACCCTTATGGGAAGCATTTTTATGGGGATTTTTTTCTCATTTCCAAATTACCAAAGGGAACTCTGCTCATGCTCATTCTACCGCAGCTAATTACACTGGTTCTAGGAGCTGCTTTTTACCAAAAGAACCCTGCAAAGTGCCTAAGATGCTTTTTCATATCTGTTTCTGACTCACTTCTGTCCAGTTTGACAATTTCCCCGTAAAGATAGGTCCACCATCACCTACATCTGAACGGCTTGAGTTCTGCAACAAAGAACAAACATATCAGTTATACAAACAGTACTTATCACTAGGCAAATTTCTGTTCTCTAATCAAATAAGCAGTAAAATCCAGATTTTTGTACCACTGGCCTATAGCTAGCACAATGCTTTCACTTCTCTAAGCAGCAAATCCCATTGCATGGCTGTCTAGTATCAGAAACGGCATTAGTCTGCTTTTCAATGTTTCTCCTGCTATAGCTCACCTAAATAGAGATGCTGAACACATCTGTTTTCCCAAATGCTTTTGCTATCAACAGATGAAAATAAAAGCTCGTAAACACAGCAACTGGCTAGAAAATCATCAGGCCTGAACTTGGTATGTCTTCTGGTAAGTCAAAGTCCAGCAGTATGTAGTCATCTGCGGCCTTAAATTCATCCAGTCTTAGTAAAATCTCATATGAAAAAAGAACAAACTAATTTTGCTACAAAACTATAGTTTATAGAACTGGTGAATAGCCCAGTAGCCCACAATCAGGCATGAGTATATGCAAGATTAGTGGGATACTGAGAAGCTCATAGGGACAGCGTTTAACCATCCCATGTTAGCCACACACTGTCAGATTCTAGGAAACAAAGAGCAATACAATTCTTCTACCAAGGAAAGGCAAATTGAATCACTTCCTCTTCTGCATCTATTCTTTTTTTTCTTTTTGTATACAACAGTGACTATTTCCTTCTTTTGTCTGCTTAGTAATTTAAATACAGTGAGTGCAAAGGGAAAACTTGCAGGCTGACAGAAACCTTCTAGCCTGATTGGCTCCCCATGCTGACCACACTGCCAAACTTTGTTTTGTACTTCTGAAAGGTGGCGAGCACCTGCTGTGAACCAGAGTTTTAATGTCAGTGCAAAAACCTCACCACAGCTCAGGATGTCTTCAACAGAGTTATATATATCCTAGTGAGACTCTCTCTGGTCTATGCTAATAACAAATTTAAGATATTATAAATTTTACATCCACTTTCCGACCAATCTGCAAACACTGAAGTATCACGCTAGTCTTCACCACTTCAGAGTGGTTCTTTGACTACTGAATTTCAGCTGTCGTTTGCACAAAATTATGACAAAATCAGAGATGAAAATAGCAGCAGACTGTTGCAGTTGCTTTCGTGCATTTAAGGAAAAAACCCAACAAAAATATATGGAGAATAAAAGCTGTTAATTAGAAATAACTCTGTTATAGATCTGCTATCTCTATGACTAATCCCAGCCGAATTCAACTGTGAACTACTTTAATGCCTCCTAGATGAAGGCTGGTGAATTAACATTACAGTTATCAAGTTACCAAAACTCTACCTGAAAAGAAAGAATATCGTGCCAGATTATATTCCTATGCCAGATTATAGTCACAGATGTGGAATTGGAATGACTGGAAGATGCAAAAGAATAAGAAGTAGGAACCACCTTTGGGCAATACACTACTGCTACTAATAATAAGTAACAAAAGTGCATTTGTTGAAGCAAAAGTTCATCTCCATTTTTTTATATTGCTAACTAAAATAATAAACTCCCCAATAACATTGCTAACATAAAATTTAAAGTCAGTAAATTACGTCTAGTCTGAATTAAAGAAATATTCATACATTCTCCAAACACTGCATTAAGATTTCTTGTTATAAAATATTCCATATAATCAATTATTACCCTCTATTGGGACATACTGAGTATGTCAAGCAGTGCTCAAGTTTAGATGATATGTAAAGCACAAGCAGAAGGAGAAGAGAAATGCAGTGGAAAACTATACTTACAAAATCAGCTTTCAGTTTGTCTATATCATCTTGAAGTTGAAGCAGATTTAATCTATTTTCAACACGTCCAGAATAAATCATGACGATAGACAGAACAAACAAGCTGTAGGTTTGGAAAGTCATTTTCTTGGTGATGGTTCAGTTAAATGGCTCAGATAAGTTCTGGGAGATGTCAGTTCTAAGAGCAGTGTACTTCAACTTCTAATAGGTTAAGCCTTCTATTAGAAGAAAGTAGACGAATGAACTTCATCTGCCTGTCAGTGGTATTTATACCTGGTCTTGAAATTTTTTTATTTCGTCATCACAGGCTGTGTATATTTAGACAAGATAGTGTTAGATAAGAACCCTTCATTTTTGGCTGAACAAGGGAATCCCTCGAAAGCACCTTTGTTAAAGCATGGTCCTGGAAAAAATTTCAGTGGTTCGTCAATGGGTAACATTTACGTGGCAGATTCTGAAGTTTCTTTTACACGTGGTTGGGGAAAGGGGGGAAATTATGGTACTGATAGAGTAGTATGCATTGTGGCTCAAGCATATTCATACATGCTATCTGAAAAAAAAATCGTATGTTGTGGTTAAAGGGTCAGTATAACAGTCAACTCATTTCTGGTGTTCTTTTAAAGTAACCACTGAGATTGCCATGGCATTCTTCAGAGCCACTTAGAGATTTAAACATTCTTCCTACTACTGTCCTTTTGGAAACACTGTTTGCATTCTTTCCATGGTCTAAAATGTATTTCTGCTGCTTTCTCATTCTTCACCTGCAGATTCAAAATAAACTCAGGGGAAATGAAGTTCTAGCATGGATGAAATGATGTGTCATATTAAATTCCTCTATGGTTGTCTACTCTGGGAGAATATTTAGTACTTAAGACATTAATTTCTGCTTGGCAATAGTAAAGTTCCCCACCTTCCCATTCATTTGCACTAATGTGTGTAGGATATGAAAGACACGAAAGAAATAAGCCCAGGTGAAGAAGACAGACAGGATAATGTCCTCGTACATACAGAACCCTGAAACAACTGTATTAATGATAGCTGAGGAAAATGTTTCCATATGTTTAAATGCTGCTTTGATGGATGTAATCAGATAAGAGCTTACTCTGAAGAGTCTTATGAACAAATCAGATAATTTTAGGGTGTAGTATATTAATGCAGGGTAGGCAGGAGCAGAAAAGGGAAAGAAAGAAAGAGTCTACAGGGAAAAAGAAAAAAAAGTAGACCAGGAAGAGGGCACTTGCAGGCTCAGTTCATACAGGTGAAGTGAAAGATATCTGTAGTTTGTAAGAAACAGATGAGAATTAAACTGGCCCCCAACAGATATATTTGAACTCTTCAGCACAGCTCTACATGGCTCTTAGGTATTCCTTGCAAGAAACTCTCCTGTTCCCCAGCAACTCCTCCTATTTCAGCAAATGACCACTAATGCCATTAAATATTTTTCATCTGCAGTTTGAAAGAGGACTTCCATCTGTGGAAGAGATCTAGGCTACTAGAACCATTGCGAACAGGGAATTGCCATTTTGCAGGGACAAGAAGCAAATTTCACCAACAATCGCAGGCCCAAAAGCTGAATGCTACATCTCTCTGGGAACAGCAGCATAGACAGATGGGACATATCTCACAACAGGTACAGTGGTACTGCACAACAATTAGGGCTGTAATATGCTTGGGATAGTAGCACTATGCAACACACATCTTGTTTTAGTTTAAGAAGTTAAAACTGATTAAGCAATAACTTGATTGCTGGAAGTGTTGACATGAAGGTAAGGTGATAATTCAAGGATGCTTCAAAGATCTGTAAATAAATGCAAAGTTAACATGCCCACCCATGGCAGAGGGGTTGAACTAGATGATCTTCAAAAGTCCCTTCCAACCCAAACCATTTTGATTGTATCATTCTATGCTAGAAATCAGAATCATAGAATCATTTAGTTTGGAAAATACCCTTAAATCATTGAGTGCAATTGCTAATCTAGCACTACTAAGTCCATCACTAAACCAAGTTCCCAAGCACCACATCTACATGTCTTTTAAATACCTCCAAGGATGGCTATAAAATGGTGGTCCCACCAAGATTCAAAGTGGACTTACAGGTCAAATTGAACTCACAAACATCAGTCCACTGAACAGACCTACAGGTAATGTTGAAACATCTGGATTGCTATGCAAGGCAAGCAGAGTCAAATGACATATTATGGCACAGCTACATGTAGTTTCATACATACAGGAAAATAAAGCATATTTTACAAGAGGGGGCACATACTGAGGTTCAATGACTGGCCACGAGTCTATAGAGCAATTCTTTGGCAAAGTGTTGGAAGAGATGTTAAGAGGTAGAGGGAAACTGATTCTAGTTACATACGGCACTCTTTATGCTGTCAGAAACACACGGCTAGAAGGGAGACTGGGTCATCAAGCCCAATTTTTGCCTAATTTGGCAAAAAGGGCTTAATTTGAGCAGTGCTTTTCTGTTGAATTACTGGAGAGTGTGTAAAGAAGAGCTGCAAGCAGTGAGTTTGGGAAGAGATTCATTACTCAAACACCTCGATGTTCTTAACATGTTGAGGACAAAAGACAACACAACTGAACACAATGAATTGCTGTAATTACCCAGCCAGGCAGAAGATTCCAGGAACTGATATATTAAGTCAGTAATACTGCCCTCTACAGAGAACTATTCGCCCAGAGCGACTGTGCTGGATTAGACTGCCTGGCTAAATCTGTCAGACATGCATCTCATCCAGAGCAGGCTGTATCTCTCCAGTGACCCCTCTTTCATCTGACACTGCTACTAAACTTCTAAGAATAACAGGGGGGTGAAGTATCAGAAAGAAATTATTTTTCCAACTCAGCTTTTGTAGATGCTGAGTTTTGGGGGGTTATATGGCTAATTTGATCACTAAATCTCCTCACATTTCAGGAGGTCACTGCCACGCATCCAATTTTGCAGGTAAGAAAATAGAAGGACAGAGCAATGGTATCATTCATGATCATTCAGCATCTAGAAAAGGCAAATCTAGGAACAAAATAGGGTGTCCCAGTCCCATTCTGGTCCTTTGCCTACTCTGCAGTGCTACAAGTATTATATCATAAACTGAGGCAAGAAATTAAGCAAAGAACAAAGAAACCCATGACATCAAGCTCTGTCACACTATCTTCTGAGTGCAGGTTTGACTTCTAGGTACACTCCTGCCTGTAGAGGCTACATTCAGGCCTTTTCCTTATCTCCACATTCAAATTATCACATAAAGTATTGAATGTTCTGTGATAAATCATCAGCTGGACAGAAATGTATTTTAATAGATAAATTTAGGATCCCTTTTCCAAATCCCTTACATTTGAATAAATGGTGTCATGTTAATGTTGACATATTTGTCCCATAGGGTTCTCTCCTGTTGACACACAATAGCACATCTCTGCAAATCGTTTTGAAATTAGGCAACAGCCTAGAGCAGACGGTCAGAACATGAGAGTCCTTGAGTCCTACGGATCCTATGTATCTTCCAACCCTGTTTTGCTACCTATTCCACCCAGAAGTGATAAACCAGGTCACCATTGCCCAGTGTATGTTTTGTTGCCCAAGAACTGTGAAGTGTCAGATTGAAGAGAAGGCCCAGGTTTAGATGGGTCCTCTGCTCTACCTTTCCTGAGAATAAGTGGGGTTACAAACAACACAGGGGAGGATCCTGAAAATATCTGCCCTTTATGACACAAAGCCAAGGGCATAAGAGTTTCCGATATTTTATTTGTGCTCCTTAGCAGATATCTACTGAGTGCATGCTGGAGAGGATTGAACACCCAGCACTAACACAAGCTCTTTGTCTGAGCACTACTCCTAATCCAGCTGAAAGAGATGTCTGAATAGTATTGAAAAGTCCCGTGTTGCATAGAATTGACGTGGTCCTCATGTATGACTTCATGGTCACAGCTGGACCATCATCTCTTCCAAACACAGCATGAAATGAAACTAAGGCATTTTTTCATTTTTCTGCCTGGAAGTCATCTGACTCTTCATGCAAAGCAGAGGTTTCACACCCTTCTGTTCATGCAACACCTTAAACCAAATACCCAATGATGGCCTTGCAAAGTCATGTCAAATTTCACCATGACCACTGATTACAGTTTTTTCCCTTTCATTTTTTGTTTTATGCATACTCCTCAGGGTGCTGACAGAGTGGTTAGTAAGCAACTGCCCATGCTAGTTCAGCAGAACCCCACCAGACTTTATTTCTCTAAAATTTAGTGACTTCCTCTATTACCACTGCCCAAAGGAAGCAGCTCATGGTTGGAAAACCCTCTCTGAGTTGTTCTGACTTTATATCACACTTCACCTCTTAGTCTCCCTTTCTCATAAAGCAACAAACTCCTTTGGTTCCTCCTTCACAGTGCTGGGGAGGAGGGGTGAAGGGCAGGTGTTGGCACACTTGAGGGTGTTAAGCGATGAAAACCTTGCCTACACCTTGTACCACTGCTATGTAATTACTAAGCGTTGTCATTCATGTTACTACTTTCTGCAAAGCCTTGATAATCAGGCTTCATGACTAGGGGGGACTAAGAGGACTTACAAGAAAGCCAGCAAGGGACTTTTTGCAAGAGCATGTAGTCATAGGACAAGGGGAAATGCCTTCAAAGTGACAGAGGGAAGGTTTATACTAGGTATTAGGATGAAATTCTTTACTGTGAGGGTGGTGAGATGTTGTAACATGTGGCCCAGAGAAGTTGTGGATTCCCCATCCCTGGAAATCTTCAAGACCAGGTTAGATGGGTCTCTGAACAATGTGGTCTAGTGTAAGGTTCTCTGCCCATGGCAGAAGGGTTGGAACTAGGTGATCTTTAAAATCCCTTCCAACCCAAATAATTTTATTATTCTATGACTTTGCAACTGATCCTTGCAAACACATTGTAATACTGTCATTTTCCCATTTTTCCTACAGCAAAAAGAAAAAAACAAATGAACAAAAAAACTCCCCCCACAAAAACACAACCCCCCCCCAAAACAATAAAAACAAACCCCCCCACACACCACTACCAACAACAAAACTAAAACTAAAACTAAAAAAAAAGCAACCCACCACTCTCCTACAAATAATTATATGCTTCATCAGTACTACACATCATGA